GTGAGCAGTGGGGTTTTTGGGAGGGAGGTGTGATGGCAGTGGTGCTGGGGCGGCGGGATGAGCCCTCGGTACCGGTGTCACCCCCTCGGCGTTGAACCGTGGGGGCTGCGGCAGGGCAGGGTAGCGATGGAGGGCTGAGCGTCCCATGCGAGCCAGGAGATAGGGATGTATATGCCTTGCTCAGGCTGTGCTGGGTGTCTATATGCCAGCAGGTTTGGTAGGAAAGAAAAGTGGGAAGTCGGACCGATTCTTTTTGTGTTCGCTCTCTGTATGGGACCTTCTTGGGTCTTCATGGAATAATACAGGTGGGGGGCTCAGGCGCGCTGGCCCTTAGGCTGTGTTAGGCTGCTTCGGGTTTTTTTTGCAGGGCAGAGAGTTGAAGCAGAAGGGCCTAAAGTGCCTCTTTGCTCAAACACTTAAAATGCTTCCCAAGCAACTTTGTATGTCAATAAAACGAAAGGAAGCGAAGACAACCTCGAAACGTAAATGTTTCCTGTGATGTAAGAGTAAATCCTAAAGAGTAGTTGTAGGAACTGGACATCTGAACAAACCTGCCCTTGTCAACTACATGTGAGTTTTTTGTGTGTATTGATTTAGCGGTTGTAAAAAGGTGATTAAAGAGTTTCCTATCATCCTCCCCATAGTCAAAACAATCTGCTGGAATGGCTCTTAATTGCTTTTATAACACATGGATGTTTTCAGAAGTAAAAGAGCAGTAGTCAAACAGACAGCTCTTCTCAGAAGGAAGATTTCCTACAGCGTGTAAACATGAAATAAATCTTTGCTTTAAAGGAAAAAAAAAAAGTTAGCCCCAGATCAAACATTTACTGGGCTTTTTAGAAATGTTCTTCCTTTATTCTACCACTATTCTTGGCAGGTTTGTCTGATGTGGTTGCTTTGTGGGTTGAATCACCTGCTTATTATAGTCTTGAGAAAGGGTGGCTTTGAAAATGATACCAGAAAGACAAAATACTTTCACCTCTTTTTATGGGACTTTGTGCTTTAGGAACTGGGAAACTAGAATGATTTACATGCAATAGAGTTTTTAGTGCTTACTCTTTGTAAAGGATTTATTTTCTTTGCTGCTTGGTAATAGAAATAGGAAACCTGCCAAAGCTCAATTAAAATTCAAAACATTTTAAATTATTGTGTAGTCCAGACAGTCCATCTGTCTGAGAGTGAAAAATGGTCCTGAATGAAAAAGAGTAATCATAAATACAGCAAATAGACAAAAAGTCATAATCAAAGTCAAATGCACTATTTAAAAACATTTACCTTAGATTCAGATTTTATTTTTTTTTAATCTTTTGTGGTTTTGCTGCTGCACAGCTCTAGAATAACTTCTTTTTGAGGCTTTGTTTACATTGCTAACAACTTTCAAAAAGCCGGTTCACACGTTCCCTTTCTTTCATCTTTTATATGTACTGTAATCTGTGCATATCAATTGGTTAAATATGTTGGCATACCCTTTGCCAAATTCAGGCTTCAAATAGTGCCTCATCTCCTGAATACTTTAATAATTTAATATATATTACATTTTCGGGCAATTGTAATATAAATAACGCTATAATCCAAACATTAGCAAATAAGCAGCATATTTCGTGCACATGAAAAGCCTGCACTGAAGATAGCAAGTTGTGTCAAGAGGTGTGGGCTCATGTGCTAGATAAGATGTCTGGCAAATACTTTTTTTTCTTCTGTGGGTAGATTCTGTTATATAAAATTCCCATCTGTACTTTGATTTCCATTCAAATGGTCTAATAATGGATGTGTTTTTTTAAGATAATGCTATAGAGAAAGTAAAGTATATTTTCAGGTAATTCTAACCTATCTTCCAATGTTTGAGTAGCCAGTTTAGCAAATAGTGTAAAATCATTATAGATTGCGACTGCATAGTACTGAAGGCTCTAGCCTCAGCACTGAATAAAAACCTTTCATATTCAACATTTAAAAAAGAAAAGGTTTCTTAAATGGTGTCGGATTCTGGTTTCTAGATGAGGCTTCTCAAACTGCTTTCCTGTGAATGTTGTATACATTTCCATTTAGTATTTGAGATTTCAGAAAAACTAGGCCACATTTATTATAATAAGTACATTTTCTACTTGTCTTCCACTGTGTTTTGGATGGTGTCTTGCATGCTTACAAGTTGAATTAAATCAATCTCTTTTTTTTTTTTTTTTTTTTTTTTTTTTTTCAGGTATCCTTGAATTCATCAGTGTGGCAGTGGGACTGGTCAGTATTAGAGGCGTGGACAGTGGCCTTTACCTTGGAATGAATGAGAAGGGAGAACTCTATGGCTCTGTAAGTACCACTGTCCTGTCAGCTCATACATGTTGAGGTTTCGATTTGCTTCTTAACCCCTCAAGTAGCTAGCTGAGGTAGTATTAGCTTGCAAAACACTAACATCTTTTCCTGTCGAAATGTATAACGCATTTTTAAAGTATACAATATAGCCTTGGATACTAAAGATTCGATGGGAAAAGTTTCTCTGTCCTAGATGAAGAGAACTGAAAAGAAATATTCCTCTTAAATTATGACAAAAATAGCTAACTAAACTAATTCAAACAGCATTTAAGTTGCCTGCGATCTAATTTTCTTTTTATCGATACTGCAAATGTATCATAGTGGATATTCTATCATCAGAACCATTGGGTGCAACTGGGAAACAGCTAAAAGGATAGTTATGGAACAAATAAATAACAATTAATATGGTACCCTGACTTACTTTATGTATAGTGTATGCTCCTTTACAAATCAGCAGGTGGTACTTCCAGGTACCAGCTTTTTAACATAAAAGCATTCTTTCAAATGCTGGGAAAAAGACTGTAATACCATATGTGGCAGTTTGGTACCACTGTTATTTGAAAAATCTGAATGGTGCAAGGGTGCTGTCAGTATCTGTAGACCCCTACTGGAATATTTGTGTTTAAGAATGAAAATAAGCTTGTACTTATTACGGTTGATTTGTATCTGTTGAATAATTTCAATATATGACTGTAAAAATACAATCTTTGATTTTTTTCCAATACTATCAGGGTAATAACAGTCTTAGACTCTTCTCCTTCCATATCTCAAAACATCTTGATATAAAATATTCTGTCTCTCCAGTTCCTTTGGTTGTGGTTAGTCCTGTTTAAAATGTGAGAAGTAATGAACACCACAAAGAACACATGGAAATAACTTCTTGATCTGTCACATTGCACCTGAGTCCCTCCACCAAATCTTGTCTCTCGGATGGTAGATACCCCAAGACAGAACTCTACATTATATAGTTCCTGTAGGTCTGGTGAATTTTGGTTAAATCATAAATAAGTAATGCCTTCTTAGAGAGACAGTTATCTAATTCGTGTTTAAATCCAAAATTGTATATGTATAGGTTCAGTTTCCAAAAGAATAAAGATTAAAGTAGGCTTCCAAACTCAGTGTCAAGTCTACATACTGTTTGTGGGTTTGATTTGTTAACAGTTAAAGGAGCAGTAAGGCCACACAAAGCCTAAAACCTTTTGTTTATTTTTATCATATTTTTCTCATGTGTGTTCAGCCACCTAGCGACAGCTTTACTTATTTTTCTTTGCTGTTTCTTTCTGTAGGAGAAACTAACTTCTGAATGCATCTTCAGGGAACAGTTCGAGGAAAACTGGTACAACACTTACTCATCCAATGTGTACAAACATGGAGATTCGGGGCGGCGGTACTTCGTAGCACTTAACAAAGACGGTACTCCCAGAGATGGGGCAAGGTCCAAAAGACACCAGAAATTCACACATTTCTTGCCCCGGCCTGTGGATCCTGAAAGAGTCCCAGAACTGTACAAAGATGTGTTAGGATACAGCTGAGGAAGGAGGCAACTTTGGAAAAAAACCCTATACTGGAGCTGTTGCTCCTGCTTCCATGGCAATGCCAGCACGAGGAACCTGCAGAGATCTAGGATGCTGGACTGGAAGAAGCTACTTTGTGATAGAGGAGCCTCTGTTTTCTAACCTTTGGATTTAGGAAACAAAGCCTTAAAACTGAGGGTGGACCAGCCTCCTGCGAACTTGCTGACCCGTGTGCCAGCCAGTAACCAAAGGGAAGTTGGAATGTGACTTTTGAAAAAATAACAAACTCTTGGCAATTTTGTCTGGATTACCCGTGGTCCATAAATTAACAAAGAACTACCTTCATCATGTGGATGAGACAGCAGCTGGAAGAAATAGAAAGAAATAAACTGTGAAACAGTAATAAATCCTGAGAACTGTATATGAAGTTTTAGTGGCTCCACTTTAGTAATGGACCTTAGATGGTGATGCATCATAGCCAGAGCTGGAACTTTTCTTCAGGATGGACCTATTTATACATCTCCAGATAGCATATATTTATTTTATATATTTATTTATTGAAGAGTTTATTTTTTGCTGGGATATGAAGAGAATACAAGCCCCTAACCCCAACGAGAAATCATTTACAGTGCCAATATTTACTCTGAATAGTGTCATGGTTTAGAAATGACATTACATTGCAATACATCCAAAACCTGAACATTCATATTGCCTTGTTTATCAGTTACAGATAAAGTTATATTTTATGACATACCATTCCCTTGTGACTGTCCTTATTCTGGAAAGAATGTGGGTTGGGTTTTTTTTTTGACCTATGAGAGTGCCTTCAGATCTGTATTGAATTCAAATGCACATTTAAAAAGGGAATTAAAAATTATTTGACTTTATTTGGTTTGCTGTCATTTTTAGATTGAGAGTCTCTTAGCACACTATGTGTAACATTTCAAACCTGCAACCATTGTGAAGTGTGTTGCAGTTAGCTTGAAAGAAAAAGCAGTATTAGCTCTTGAAATCTTGATTCAAATCACAACATGCTTGATGTTTTTTTGCCAAATGGTTCCTACTATCTTTACTAACACACAAATAACTATTCTGTATTACTTAAAATTTTCATGTAAGATTCTCATCACTGTAGAAGATACTTTAATTATATTCCCTATCAATATGTTTAAGGGGAAGCAGCATCAGAGTAAGAAGTTTTTGATACCGCTGAATTAAAAGTTTCTGTGAGTGAATGTTGTTCCTCCACTGCGTACAGAGTCACCTAAGGAGATGATTTTCTTATCTTATTTCCTCCTTTATGGTATAGTCTCAGCAAAAGTTTTTGCCTGAAGGCTGTCAGGACAATGATGAGCTATGTCTCTATGCTAGTTACAGCTATATAACGGGTATATTGCAAGAATTTACTTAACGTTAATTCGGGACTGTCCGTTATGAAGCACACTCATCTGCATAATGACTATCAGGAAAGTCTCTGCTCTCCGTAAGAATACTAAGCGTTAATGACAGACCCTATACGATTTAGACTTAACCTGCTGAAGCTTGCTGTCAGATGATTGCCACCTCCATGGGAAAAGTTGGTCCAGGAAAAGGACTGCAGGAAAGGCAGTACAGGAGAGGGCAGCAATATTTATACTGTCCCAGAGGTGGTCTCCTGTTGCAGGTGCCCAACGCTCCCAGTGGGCTCCAGCTCAAGATAACTCGTTTGAGTTCAGTTTTGTGAAAGCATATATGGTTCAGGTACTGCATATGCATAATTTATATCAAATCAAGGCATATCAAGCATCATGCAGTATATAGCACACTTCCTAGAGCAATCACTGTACTATAACTTGTTCCAACCTATAATGAGAAGTGGATGAACGTCAATTACTGATGGACTGTGGACAGAATCATTTTACTTTCTGCCAAATAAAAATTTAATACAGATACACAAAAAGGTGTTTCAGTGCTTTGTGGCTAACAATATGTAACTTACTAAGGTTAAAGGTTTCATTAAAATTTTCTGAAAAATAAGCAGTGGAAGATCTACAGTGCACTGAATACAGTTTAGTAAAATGATATAATGCACTTCAATTTACCATAAAATAGTGATTTTATGGGTGACACTGAGTCCCACTAGTAACAGATCAATAACTGAAGACAAAAGTGTATACTTTAAATAGAAAGATTTTCCCTCTGCGTGTTAAAAAGTAACTTATGCCATGTGAGTTTTGTAACAAATCAAATATATATACCACTAAAAGCGTTACCTCTCTTTGGATTAGCAGTTTACTGTTAATCCAGCTATCTCAAAAGTACTTTGAAGATGGCAAGGGCTGTAATCATCTTTGTTATTATTATTGTACATCTTTTTTCACAGATACAATACAGTTCAGGATAGCTGAGGATAGCTTTAAGAGGTGAATGAATATTCAGCTGAAACTTCTGTATGCAAACACCTAGCCAACATATAGATGAATAAGAGGAGTGATAACATACTTGTCATTTTCTTGCCCCATTGCCATTTTAGATATATGCCAATAATCCTCGAACAAATTGTAATGGAGCAGGTATGGTGGTGGTGAATGGCTGTACAAAACCTCTGGAGCATTGAAAAGCTGTCACAACCTCCTTTTTTTAGTACTGGTATATTGCCATTGAAGGAAGATACTGATTTTTCACATTTCATTTTGCTTGTAGCATTTATTTGCTCACTGTTACATTCTGTCTATCATGATTTTCTGATACAGTTAATGTTTTTCTAGTTTGAAAATGGCAGATGCAAAAGCTGCACCTCAAAATAGCTATTTTCATATGTCATTAGACTGATAGCTTTAGTTGTCAGTGGTTGCTTTTTTGGTGTGGTTTTCACTCCCACTTCAGAAAGCCCAACTGGATAGAGAGGGAGACATTGGTTCTGTTTAACCAGTAGGATTAATGATCTAGTTTGCCACTCATTACATTTCACATAACCCTATCAATCTGAGAGCTGTGGACTGTTCTAATGTCATGAAGAGGGTAGTCTGAAGGAGGTGACATTGTTCAAGGTTCAGAGGAAATCTCTGAAGACAGAGAAAATCTCACATCTTGAAATAAATCCCTGCATGACTGGCTGCCCTATTTCTGCTGTTCCTTTTTTCCAGGGAAGGAGAACCATTGCAGGTAGTTACTCAGTTCGTATAGCAGGTGCAGCTCCACTTTCTGTTCTCCACTGATTCTCTTAGCTGTAAAACTTGGCCCTTTGATCTCATAGCTGGAGATTGTGCTCCACGCCAGTTCTATATTTCTTCACGTATTTTTTTTTTTTTGGCTGCTGTCTTTTTGTCCTGGTTTGAGGTAAAACAGAACCAATTTTGGTCAGTAACTTCGCTTCTTAGCTGGGCCTCTCTAACAACTGAAATTAGCAGCATATTGTTGCGTTAAAAATAATACACTCGCTATACAAAAGATTTTCTGAAATCCAAGAGTAACCTTGACTTCTGAGCATATTTGAAGTGAATTTGTTACTTTTATTAATCATTGGGCTCTTGGTCAGAATGCAGAAGGTGGAATTTTCAACAGTCTTCTGTGGAAGTCTTCCAGCTGTGATATTTACAGGATATAGGAGAATGTAAGTGCCTCTGGAAAAGTGTATTTTTCATTAAACAGACTGATGTAATCAGAAAAAGTGGACAGCTAGTCTAAAAGACACACAGCCCTTTCATTGGGCTGAACCATTTGCGTTTGCACGGAGAAGTTTGGTCCCATCTGTATCTTCATGTTTTCTGCCATAAGGTTATTGATGTTGTTTTTCATGCTCAAGTGTGACAGCCAGCTGCACTGATTCTATCAAACCTCTGGTATGGCCATGCACTTTGGTAGCACTCCAGGGTTGTGCAGAATTTACTTTCTGACGAGTGAGAGTCACTTGACAAGTGTATTTTCATCATAGCTTTCATTTCCAGCTATTTTAATTTCTTGATGTGCTTTGTTAACTCATTTTTCATAGCCATCCAATCTTCCTTCAGTAGCTTTGTAAAGGTTTACCTAAACACAGATCTTTACTAGCAGCTATAAGAGCCGTGGGTGTGATTATTTTTTTTTTTTGTTTAGTTTATGAAATCATACTGGTATTACCCTACAATGACTCTAGTTATACCATTACAAACCATTAGGTTTGCCTTACACTTTTTTCTTTACAGCAATGAACTAAATAGAAGTAAGGTAGTTTTATACACCATAAATGTATCTGAACTTAATGTACTGGACTTAATGTACTGGCCTTAATGTACTGGACCAAGCCTGTATCATAAATACTGAAAACACTGTGGTAAGATGCTTAAGTTTTGCTCATTTTGCTCCATGCTGCACAGAGATGCTGTCAGTAAGGAGGCCTTTTGGAAATCTCTTTGTTTGCTTCTTTTGCTTTTCATGTGAGAAAAACTATTGACTACACTGCTGTTAAAATCTCTGCATTTATTTGGTGGGGTTTTTAGTATGCAACCATTTGAAGACTCAAGTTATATGAACATGACAGCAGCTGCATGAGATCAGACAGTGTTGCATCTCCACTGCGTGGGGAAGAGAGTAAGAGTAAGACAAACCTGTCCTGTGGGCAGTTATTGTAGAACCCTGACTAAGGTTAGGACCTGAAGTCAATTCTCTTCTGCGTCATTTCCTCTTATGAGGCAGAAAAGTAAGTAAAGATTTCACAGTGCTGAAGAACATGGTGGTGGAATTCTACACTTCCTGGATGTCTGCATCAACCTGCACTTTAACAGACATTTCTCTTAAAACAGTTTCCTTTGCAGTAGTGTATTCAACTGTTGTGGTGAAATCGTTGCTGTTAGTGTACTTCGTGTCAGTATCCATCTGCACGCACACGTGCTCGTCTCAGTACAAGGCAGTAAACATATTGCTAGACAGAGAAAAAGAATATTCTGAAGTTGTTATATACCATGAAAATGTTAATCAGGAAAGTTTGGTTTTTGGCATTAGTTTTAACCAAGTTTTTGATACGAAGTTTTGCAGCACTTTTGACAATGCTGTATAGGCTC